CTTTCTATGGGCTTAATACATTTTGGTCTAAACACGGTTGAATCTCTAGAATAATGGGTCAGTTGGTGAAAGGAATGCAAATTTGGAGCACCAAGGCAAATCTCCAATGTGGACCTCAAAGACAATCTGGGTGACACTCTGACATCCCATACATACAGATCTCTACTATCCAGGACGAATCATCTAGAATTTCTCCTTCTCTTGGTTTCAAAGGTACCCCCAGTCTAGTGGTGATAACCATCAGCACCAATCAGCCACAACATTCATCACGTCTGTGCATGAGATGTTCCCAAGTGCAAGTGTATCTGTCTGATTCAACTACTTTGTTCACCTAAAACCTCTGTCCCAAGAGAGGGATATTTGCTCAGGGCAAGAAGAAATCCTACTGAGTTCCATGGGCCAGCCCTTCTAAAGCCAGGGGTCAGCCTGGTACAGGGAATAGGCAGGGAGTGAAGTGGAGTTGCCCCTGAAACTCGGGGCAAGTGGCTCAGACTGAGTACCAGGCAGTCACTTCCTGTACAGGCCAGACTACACCATCCGCCACTGTCTCAGGGTTCCTCTTCTAGAGACCAGACCAACTGGTTTTCTGTTAGTTAGCCGCCAGCAGAAAAATGCCATCACATGAATGTGTCATTGTCACCATCTTCAAGGGAGTAGATAATAAAAAAGTAGCCAGTGTCTACCTGCCAGGTGGTTAATCTCAGCCACAAAGGGGTAAGGCTGAGCTCGGAAGCTGGCCCAGCTCCATCCACCCCAGGTCTTGTTCTTTCATCTCCAACACTCCTTGCACCAATGTCTCTTCTGCTGGTCCTCTGCCCTCACCCGCCACACACATATCTGGCCTCTGAGGGTCCCTGATGACGCTAAGTGGTGCCCCAGACACTGCAAAGCCTTCTTGTCACCTTAGTGCAGCACAGAAGGGAAGTGGGGATACAGGAGATGGTAACGTTGTTCAAAACAGTCACTATCCCTCCCCGCTAGTCACATGCTGGTGGGAGGATCATATGTCCCATTCCACTGGGTCTGGCCTGGTCATCAGACCTGTTTTGGCCAATGAGATGTGAGGGGAAGAGACACACCTGCCACCTCTGAGTGAACCCTTCAGAGCCATCATGGAATTTGGCCATCTCTCTCCCTCCGCTCTGCCCTCAGGTGGGCACTGCCCTTTCAGCCCAGAGTGAAATGTTTTTGAAAAGCGCCTCAGCTGACTCATGACGTGAGAAATACTCGCATTACTGTGTGCCTAGGTACTGTGTGTGAACAAGCCTCTGCAGAGTAGGGCTGCTTGTCACCGCAGCATAACTAGCCCGAGCTGACTGGTTCCAGGTTCTGCAAAGAAACTCTTAACAAGGAATGACCCCAGCACACAGAAGCACGGAGGTTGTCCAAGTTGGTATTTCTTGTTCAAAGCAAACAGAGTGGGGCCACAGATGAGGCTGACCAGCTGCTCTGGGGGATCCCCTCGCCCTCTTCCTTTGCCTCAGTCCTGTTGGGGGGACCCCCAACAAAAGGTCCCAGTTCCAGGCCTGGGGCCTTTCCCTTGTCCACTTCCTCCTCAGGCCACCCACCCCAGCCGTGCTGCAGCCACCACGGCCATAGGAGGATTCATGAGGTTGGTGGCTCCCTCCTCCCATGAGGGACTAGGAGGCAGGCCCCATATGCTGGGCTGGGACTTAGCCAGAGCCTTAGAACCCTATGTGGAGGGTCCCACTTCTCCTTTTGGCTTAATCATGCAGGACGCCTAACAACAACAATAATAGTAACAAACACAGTTAGAACCCTCCGTTGTGCTCTGGCGACTACCCTAAGCACTGAAGACACACTAACGCCTCCTTCCAGCACCCTAGGAGGGAGGCACCGTTATCACCCCCGTCCTGGAGGTCTGGAGAGGTTCAGCAAGGTGCCCAAGGTCACCCAGGTAGGCAAAGGCCGAGGAAGGATGCCGACACAGGCAGTGTGGCTTCCACGATCTGTGCATGGCACGCTACGTCAAGGAGGCAGGTCCCAAACAGGAAGACAGCGAACAGGCTGAAGCTACAAATCAATACAGCAAAGAAACAAATTACCTGCTGCTTTTTTGCTGTTGTCTGGGTTTCCTTGGGGGCAGAGGGTCTGAGGTTGGGAGAGCAGTGGAGTAAAATAAAGAAAGAGTAAAATGAAACACATACCCATTTATAGACGGCGTCTGCGTAGTCCCAGTGAATGGGCACAAATCGTGACGTGGAAGAGTTATGTCGCATGAAGGATGTTTGGTTTGGGTTTTGATGCTCTTTTCAGCTAAAGTGAGTACTGAATTTTCATTAAAAATGGAAAATAAGATTCTACCACACCACCGTGGGAGGAAGACATGAACGAGGGAAGGAAGCTTCCTCCATCCCTGAGTGCCTTGGTTTGTTCCTTGGCCTCCTGATCAGATATGAGACACGCAACCAGACATGACATGCCGGTTCCATGGGGCAGGTCTGGTGTGTGCTTCCTGACCAAGTTCCAAAAATCTGGGGCTGCCGGGAGGTGTCACTGGGTTGGGAAGACCTAGAAGTGATGACCCAGGAGATGGGGCAGGGAGGTGGGGAAAGCAGCACAGGGGCAAAGAAGAGCAGAGCTTCCAGACGTTCTGTCGGTCCAGCTCGACTCCCTTTTCCTCCAGGAAGCCTTGCTGCTCAGCCTGCCCTTGAAGCAAGGCTCCTTCCTTCTGCTTTCAGAGCACGTGTTGCCATGTAATAGGCTCAGCACAACACTACTCCCCGCTTTCAGCCGCCTTCCCCATGTTGATGTTGAAATTCAAGAGCACAGCTGGGGCTTCTGGGTTTCTGAAGGATTTTGGGGACTGGGCAGCCAAGTCCCTGAAAGCCTGGTTACTCTCAATAAGAAGCAGGACTACACGGGTCCACGGCTGCCTTCCTTCCAGGAGGCCAAAAGCCCACCCAGGATCTGTGCAGCCCCAGGTGCCCCAAACCACCTCACCCTTTCTGTGGTCATCAGAGGGTGCTATTTATTTGGCCTGGGGAAACTAGAATACGCTCCTTCTTCTCTGAGATTCCCTACATTTTCTTCTCTGCTGGCTGTTGTAGGACAGGCGTCATTAAGGTTTGCTATATAAATTGACCATCCCCTACACTCCATACTCCTTACCCAGAGAGCAGGCTCCGAGTAGTTCCCCAAGATCCAGGCCCTCTGCACCTGCCTGGACATGCGTCTGGACCACATTTCCCAATCTCCCTTGCAGTTGAGTGTGGCCATGTGACTGAGTTAGAGCCAATGGGATGTGAGCACAAGGGACACACCCACTTCCAGGCCTTGGGGGTAAAACCCACCCACAAGCCCTCCTCCGCTCTTTTCCCTTCCCGCCTATTGGCATGGTGTCAACCCCAGGAAACTGGAGGCTGGGTGCTCACAGTGGCAGACCCTCCGTCAGCAGGGTCCTGAATGAGCCTTCCCCACTGACCAGGAATCTTGTACGTAAGGTGGAAACTAGCCTCTTCCGGGTTTAAGCCATTCATGTTTTTTGTTGTTATTGCACCGCCTGGCTAGTCTGCCCGCTTACATGTTCTCCATAGCATGACTCTCCATTGGATGGTACCTTATTTACTTGTTTATTGTCTCCTCCCTCCACCAGAACGGAAGCTCTCAGAGGCGGGGACTGTGCTTTGGTCCCTGCTGTGTTCCCAGTGGTAGAACAGCGTCTGACATGGAGCAGACATTTAATAACTATCTGTTGAAGACACGAATAAGTGAATTCTGTTTCACCCATTCAGTGTGAGTCCGGGTCTCTTTGGAAAGCCCTTCTTATGGCAAGAAGCTGCCCCTGCTCTTGCTTCTTCCTCCACCTCTGGAGCTAAAAAATCAGCCTTTAACTGAACTAGTACTCTCACCCTGCCGGACTCAGCCTGTGTTCCCTCCTCTTTGACACCCTCCCGGAATCCTTCCCACCATGGTCCACATTGGCCAGAGGTCCCTTTGCAGTCACACCTGTCACACTGCACAGCAAGGGCTGATGCCTGTGCCCCTCCCACCTACCATGTCCCCAACCCTCCAACTGGACTGGGAGACCCTTGAGGCCAGGACTCTGTCTTATTCATCTTTGCAACTTCCCAGTGTCAGGCACAAGTGTTTCTTGAGAAACAAGCACTCTAAAATACTTAATAGCTATTTTAAAATATTTATTACATTTATATAATATTTAATCGTGTAAATGTATAATTATATTATGTACGGATATTATATACTTATAATATTTATAAAATGCTTCAGTGTTTTCTCTTCTTTGACTGTTGTCACTCCCCTGCTCACCAAGAGTAAAAGGCTTCCCATACCCCTGGATCCATTTGTAAGAGGACCTAAGCTGGGGCCTGGAATATTCTGCAGATTCGTCTAGCAAACTTTTTGGCTCTTAATACCTGGCATAGCCCATGAGAGGAAGGGGAAGCCCAAACCCTTTCATTGCCTACAAACCCACCCTTGACTGGGGGCCCCCAAACATTTTTCCACAGAGGTCCAAGCCTGCTCCGGGCAGCCCTATGTACACACACGATTTTGGTCTTTCAAAATGCTTGCCCATTTGACCCTCACAAAGGCCTGTGATAGACAGGAAGTAACTCTTATATCCATTTGACAGATGAGAAAACAGGCTTGGTGAGGTTAGGTTACTTGTCCAAGATCATGGTTTGAGTGTGTGCCGGGGTGTCACTAGGACCCAGGGGCCCAGACATTTCCTCTCCTTTTCTTCCCTTTCTCCAGCATGAGCTAACAAGAGGAAACTCCACAGCGGCCTTGGGGAAGCAAAGCAAACGAGCTGTGACATGGGTGAATGGAAACTCACACTGACTTTCAATGATAAACCAAGTTCAAAACAAACCCGGGCCAAATACCTTCGCGGATGAAGGCTTTCCCCCTTCTTCTAATTTTAAACCCTGCTGGCCTGGTAGGAGTATCTGTGGTTACAGAGCGTAGTATCTGCCGCTGCTGTGTGGTCGGAGGCAGAACGGGGAGGTGGTACTTACTCGATTTTTCTTCCTTGATGGTGTATTCAAGCACTTCGGATGGGCTCTCATTCGGGGAAGGGAAGTGGACACAGAGCACCAGGTGCTTCAGGCCGCTGTCCCGGCGGATCAGGAACGTCTGCAACCAAGGAAGGGGGAGCTCCATGAGTCAAAGATGTGGGGGCAGAGGGTTAGAAAGACAGCAGTGAGATGGAAGTCACTGGAATGTTCCAGAAACAAAGAGGTGGGATGGGGGTCAAGCATCCCTCAGGAGAACTAGGGGTTCTGCCCCAAGAGTCATGTGTCACCTGGCCCATGTCCCCCGGCTCCTTGAGTCTCAGTTTCTTATTTGCCACTGAGGGAGTGTCAACTAAATCAACGCAGATTCCTGTGTCCCATCCCCTGAGATGTTGTTCCACTGGGGGAGGGGAGTGGGGCCAGAATCAGCTGAATCGGGTACAGGTTGTGGTCTGGGATCCACAAATGTGTGGGTTGAATTTCAACTCACAGCCCAGCACATATACCCTGGGGAAGACTGTTAGAAATAATCATAGATATTTTTTCCACCCACAGAAATAAAAAACAACTAATAACTAATGTACAGCTTTCCCTGGGACAGGAACGGTTATGAATACTTGGCATATATTGGCTTGCTTTGTCGTCTCAATAACCCTGTGACGTGAGATTTGCTGTTATCCCCACTTCACAGATGAAGAAACTGAAGGGCTCTCTGACCTTGACAGGACCTGGCTCCTCGGGCTGGTGTGATGACTGAGTAAATACCAGTACGGGTTTGGCCCCCAGGGCTCACCCTGGAGGCTCTGCCTGGCCCAGGCCTCACAGCTGAGAGGAGCAGAGCTGGGTGTCAGCCCTGGATGCTGGTGTCCATGCTTGAGACCCCAAGCCACATGACCTCTCTCTTCCACAGTCCTGCCCGGGGAGAGACTTGCCCTTTTTTCTCCTGTGGATTTAGTCTAGTCAGAAATGATGCTTCGGGCCCCAAGGGCCTATTTCTGCTCTAGTAACCAAGCATCACTTGAAGTTTAAACCAGAGCCAGCGTATTTATAGACACTTCACTTTTACTTCTGCTCCAGACAATGGTTCTGCTCAGTTAAGGGGACTGTAACTCCTCCACTGTCAGACCCACAGCAGCCCTGGGGCAGTGCCCTCCCCACAGCCATCATGGGGAGGGACCCCTGCTTCCTTTCACAAGCTCTGTGGTTTTAAAATCTTCTTCTTAGTCTCCATTGGCTCCACCAAGCTCATCCTTCCTTCCAGGTAATGATGGACACCTTCTGGCATCTCCCCAGCCTTGTGGGCATGGCTGCCCCTGGGTAAGAGGGAGAGGGGGGACCCTCCTCTGGGGAAGGGTCACACTTTCACTTCCTGTAAAAGGACTGAGTCATAGTGTCTCCCCTTCCCTCCACCCTTGTCCCCACCTCAGAGTCTAAACCACTCCCATGTAGGCTCAGAGGGTCTGGGCTAGACTTTGGAAGACCAAAAGTCTGACCAAAGATGCTGAGAGAAGGTTGGGGAGCAGGACCACCGGGGCCTCCTGAGGACGTGGCCCCAGGCGTGGGAGGCTCTGGTGGAGCACAGAGATGGCGTTCCTGCCCCTCCGCCTCAAGGCGCACTGTCCTACAAATTCTCTGCCACTGTTATTGATTACTATTATTATTATCATGTTGCTGTATTATTATAGCCATTAATACAATGTCACTATAATTGTTAATGAAACATTATAATAATATTGTTACTACTGACTAGTAGCAGCTAACACATATTGCTCCCCTGGTCTGCCCAAGTCTTAACCACAGTTCATTAGATTCCATGATCTTACTTAATTCTCATATTAAAGCTGGGAGAGGGGCTGCTGTATTATCCCCGTTTTATAGATGAGGAAACTGAGTCCAAGAAGATGCAGGTAATGCCCGGAACGACAGGGCTAGTAAGTGCTGGAGCTGGGATCTGAGCTCAGGCCCTTCGACTCAAGATCCTGAGCCCTGGGCTGTCCCAGTACCCGGCCCACAGAGGGCGGTCTCTCAGCTTCAGCTTCTGCTCTATGTGAGGGTGCGCCCCTTGGGAGTAGTGACACAGTGCATCCATCTGTCACCGAACTGCACTCAGGTATGAGTCCACCAGTCTGCCTCCTCCCGCAGGGAAGGCTGGAGAGAGCATGAGAACCCAGTGGACAGAGGAAGGTGGGAGAGAGGCTTCTGGGGCAGAAATGTGAGCGGCGGGTGGGGAGGTTCTGATGTTCCACCTGGAAGGCCGCCCTCCTAGGGGACTCACCTCTAGATGGCTCTCCGCCCTCTGCTCAGGAACAATGCCTGGGATCCAGCACAGCCTCACCTACTCTGAGCTGCAGCATCACTGAACTGATGAGTTCACCTGGACCTGAACTCCTGACCCCAGGAATGCGTTGTCTTTCAAAGAGGTCACAGAAGAGGCAAAGTGGATGATGGACGATGGATACAGACTCAGGGCACAGAGGTTAGAGAAACCCAAGGCCATGCAAACAGGAAGTGCAGAAGCAAGACGCAGACCTGAGCGACACCAAGAGCATTTTCCTTATCTCTTGCCATCATGGTTGTGTTATCTACTCACTGGGGGCTGGGGTTTAGACGGGGGTGGAAAGTTCCCCAGGCTGGGCTCAGGTCCCCAGTTCTGAACACCTAACGTCCGCTCTTTCAACACGGCCACACAGCCTCCTGCAGCACCTCCTTCTGCCGTGGCCAAGCCCTGGGGCGCTTGCCAGAAAATTCAAGATAAGGCACTGGGGGTGGGGGTGAGTTAGTGGGGGAGAGGCAGGGAGGGCAGCTAGCGGAGTCCTCCGACCCTTCCTGCTCCGATGGCAGAGGGGGAGGGGACACAGAAAGGTGTCCACTGTGGGCAGAACCCTGGTCAGTGGTCTGCCTTGGCCACTGTCTTCTGGAATAAGATGGTCTGTTTTGCGTTTCCCTTTGGGGAGGTTTAGCTTGTCAGCTAGTCACAGAGTGCATTTTAGGAAGCATCCACCGGCAGCACCTCAAAAACACTGTCACTGTGCAGCTCACTGTAGGAACAAATGCAGAGAGGTGACTCTCGCCAAGCATTCTAGACTACAGCGCGTCTCCTGTGCATAAACCTGGCAGAGTTCACCCAAAGACAGCGCCAGGAGAAGGACATGTGAGTGACCTGCCCTACTCCCCTTGTCCCCACCTTCACCAGACGTCCACTGCTTATCCTCTAAGGAGATGCTGCCAACGACAGTTGCTGCAGGTGAGTACCCAGGGGGCTAACGGGCTGCGTGTGCTACCCAGAGCTCCTCCAGCACCTCTGGGGATTCCATGTGCAAATTCTCCAAGCCCCCTTACTTCTCTTTCTAGCCCCTGCAGCTGGCTTTTTAGAGCTGCAGGGGGACCCCAGCAACTCTTTATCAGCCATGGGTCTGTGGGCAAGTTACTTTTATGTCTCTGGTCTCCATTTCCTCACCTGAGCCTGAGAATAATAATATCTATTCTTCAGGGTTGCTGTGAAAATTGTGATCATGTATATAAAATGTCTGGCAGAGAGTATGCACTTAATGATATTAATTATTATTATAGACTGCTACCATTTACTGAGCACTAAACCACAGGCTAAGATCTTTCTATGCATAATCTCATTTGAAAAATAAATGACAATTTTTAATAAGATCCTTATTATGTATCTTTTGCCAAACAAAGAGATAGGAAAATGGACTCGAAGACCACTTGCTCATGTGGTAGATTAAAAACGGCCACAAATTCTTTGCAGCTCCACCCAGCAAGAGGTACAATCTATTTTCCTGCACCTGGGAGGGTGGCACTGGGACTTGCTTTGACCAAAAGAATGCAGCAGAAGTGGCACTGTGGAGACCCAAGCCTAGATTTTAAGAGGCATGTCAGTTTCCACGCTCACCTTTTCTGACCAGAGCTGTCACAGGAAGAAGGCTGAGCAAGCCTGCAGGAGTTGTGAGACCCAGCTCTCAGCTGTCACCAACTGCCAGAAATGAAAGCGAGCCATCTGGGGCCAGTTAGTCCCACTCAAGCTGCCAGATGACTGCAGCTGCATGACTGACCCCAGGAGAGACGGGCAGAAGAACCACTCAGCAGAACCCAGCCTACATTGCTGACCCACAGAATCATGAGAGTCAAATGGTGACTGTTTTAAGCCACTGGATTTTGGAGTGGTTCCTTACGCCACAGTGGTTAACGGTATATAGCCATGGGGTATACACAAGTGGGGCTTCATCCTCTGGGTACCCCTCTCCTTCTGTGAGGTGCTGCTGCGGGGCCCGCAGAACTCAGTAGGGAAGTCTGAAAGCCAGTGATGCACCCAGCTCGCCACCCTACAGCCAAAGAAACCAAGACCCAGAGATGTAAAAAGACATCCTGAGGTCACATCATTTGTTGGTGGAAGAAGATCCAGGACAAGAATGCAGAGCCAGTGACCTTCAGGCCAGGGTTGTGACCACTATGGTACATGTCCTCCAACCCAGTCAACCTGCTGAGTGCCAACTGAGCACATATGAGTTCCATGCCAGGTGCCTGGCTAGAGGTTTTAGATACCCTGCAGCAATTCTGTCCCTGGGATGCAGAATATTTGACCCCTTGCACAGACGAGAAAACAGTGTGGGAAGAGGACTGGTAAAAAGAGAGGGAAAGGGGAAGGTCTGGATCCACTGGCCTCGGGGCCCTTCCGTGTAAGACTTCAGCCCACAGGCCCTGGAGCCAGACTCACATTCAGTCCTTGGCTGGCCATGCTGAGCTGCAGGACTTCTCTGGGGATGCTTCTTCCTCTGGAAAATGGGATCACAATAGTTCCTGCCTGTGACAGCCAATAAGAGCTAGCTCCCTGAGAACCAGTCCCCTCCCTCTCCTTGCTAACCGACCCCAGTTCTGGCCTGGGTGCCACATCCTCCCTCAGGAGATGAATCCTGTTCGGTCAAAGCCCATCATGGCTATTCTGCTCCCTTTGGCCACTCACCCCCTCCCCAGCTTCCCTCACAGTCAGAGGTGGCCAACAAGGTATCTGGAAAAACATCTGTTTCCTGATCAAAAGATGGAACCTAAGGGCAGAAAGCCTTTCACCTATGACCTCCTGCTTTTGAATGGATGAGATGGTTGGAGCTGCAG